TCTTTATGATCAAAATTCATAGCCAAGATTCTTGTTGGATCACGTGCCAGAGCTTAAACTGCCGACTGTAAAATGAAGTTCCGATCTACGCAGTTACGACACACACAAATAGACGGGTGAACAGAGAACGGATGGGAGAATCCGAACGATCCAACTTTATTGGTAATGCTGTACAGACGTATTAATTTTAAATTTCAATTTTTTGTAACTATTTTCTATGTTCGAAAATTACTTTGACATTGAAAACTGCTCTTTAGCTGAACATACTCGTTATCTTGGGGAAACTTGCAAGATTACAGATAACTTGTTTTTCTTCACTGGTATTGGTTATTAAAGATAAAGCCATTTCAACCATTCCACATTATATTCGTGAGACAAAGCGTGCCATCTTATCGCCAATTACGCAAGTGGTTCACTGTATTACGCGAACGCTTATAAAGTAGATAGTGATCATAACTCTGTTCTCAACCAAATCGTAAATTTTGTATTCCCAAAATCTTGTTTCGAATTTTAAAGCTGAGCATGTACGATCTTCATTTCATGTTAAACATGTTGGCCTGTTTGTACTGCACTCGTAATTGGTTCCTAATATGAAATTTGCAAAGCTCTCGTAAAACGGACCTGTAAATAAATAACATTGGGTAGACCTAGTGCTACCTAGGCAAGGATAGTTGCCACGGCATTGAGAGCTTATAAGTGTTTAACTCAATCGTAAATTTTAACTACCGATATGAACTTGAAATAGTTCCAACGCGGAAGTTGGGATGTTACGAAAACCTGAACTGTGTCTAATATCTTACATCAAATAATGAATATGTGTTTTGAAGCCTCATTCATTATGATTTTCTATTTCTGTTTACGATAATTTCCACAACCTAAACTCCTGCGGTGTTGACGTTGACATTTATCGTATGTATTTTTATTTTTTTTAGGCAATCCTGTTTTATACGCCGAGGTGGTTATGGAAGTCTTGGGAAGGAGGAAAAATTCACGCTCTCATGATGGATTTAGATATTGGAATTTGCTCCGATATCGAAAAGAAGCAAAAGAAAAAGTTAATGTTGGACTATCTTTGGGAAAATTTAAGATACCACAACTGGTGGGCGTATAAATACTATTTATGTGAATTCCTAGCCTTTATTAATGTTATTGGTAAGTAAATGGTTGATATTTCCGATAATTTCTTTGGATATGCAATATCTCTATAGTCTATACCTACGGTTACGGTTTTAGGCCTAATACCCAGTTGCACCAACAAAATTAAGCCTTGCTTAAAGTTAAGTCGAACTTAAAATCTATGGTAACAATTATTAAGACAATCGTTGCCATGGAATTTAAGTTATGCTTAACTTTAAGCGATACTTAATTTTGTCGGGGCAACTGGCCATAAATTCCCACAAAAAACCACACGACGGTATATATCTATCATCAATCCTCTATTTGAGTGAGTTTATTTCGGTGTTGACGTCTGCAATATCTTTGAATGGGAAATGTAAATCTGTCGAACAGTTAACTTGCGAAAGCCTTTATTCTGAGAAGTTTCTGTATGAAATCATACGTTCTGTCTGTCCGTCCGGCACTGTACAATATGATAACTTGAGAAGGGGAAAGATGTTTCGAGCAATCGATGAGTACCTAGATGAACAAAATCGTAGAGTCCAAACAATTCCAAAATCATTGGTATATAGCCCGATAAAATCTAAGGAAAAAAATCCCGGAGTTTTTGAAAATTGGTAAAATTATTTCTTGGTATCTAAGTTTCAAGAAAATTAAGAGTCTTTGTGAGTGTGTGGGGGCGAGCTCGAGGGAAGGAGGTCCTTACTCACTTTCACGGCCCCATAACTCCGAAAGTATCAGTTTTATGTAAAAAAAGCATAGGAACCATTTTTGTAGTAAATTTTTCTAGCTTTAAGTTTGATTTGAAGAACGTTTCGGTAGGAGCGCCAATTACTGAGATACAAGCGAAAATTGAACAACCCTTGTGCAGATAAAGCGCATTTTTTTTAAACGAAACCGCTTTTGTTTTGACATCACCAATGGACATATTTCTTGCAGACGTCTCAATCGCCCTTTGTGAGTACTCTGTTCCGACAATCCGTTCTCGAGGTATAGGGGAATATACCCGATCACGAAAAGAGGTCGAGGAGGAGGGCTATGGTTGGTAGAAATTAATTCCTTTCGTTGAGACCTTTTCATTAGAGTACCATGAAGGATAAAACTAGTTCCACTCCCCCCCCCCCTACTTTGATAAGAGGGCAGAAAAAGGGCAGTAGTTGATGGAAAACGGTTCCTTTCGTTGAGACCTTTAATTAGAATACAATGAGAGGTAAAATTAATGTTTAACCTCCCCCCCCCCCCCCTCAGACGATAAGACCTTTCATTAGAATACCATGAAGGGTAGAACATGTGTTAACCCCCCTCTCCCTCCATTTTCTAAAGGTTAACTTGGCACCACTAAAGGCATGCGTATGCAAAATCTGAGACCAATTGGTTGTCGTATGTAAAAGCTATGCACGTTTTACTTTCAAAAACAGCATCTCAGGAAATAATTCGTGGGGGAAGAGGGACCCCTTTTATACAGCGAAATTTGATGGCCATCTGACACACCTTCAAGATATAGGCTACCTACTGCAAAATTCCAGGACTCTAGGACCATTCCCCTAGAAATAGTTCAAAACGGTAGAAGTGGGTCCGGACGAACGGACGGGCGGACAAAACGCAAACAAGAGCAAATTTTGTTTAATTCTTAAAAATGCGCTAAAAAGGGCACCTATAAAGGGCCCCCATCCCTGGAGCCCCCCCCCCCCATGCGACAAACTAAAATACTTAAAACCAGGTGTCAAATTCTTGACAGAATAGCTTCCTAGCTGAAACCAAAAATTGCCAACATATGTACGCACTTACAGACGGGAAAAATTTATTCTTTAAATTGCTTAGAATGATCTAAAACGTCAATTTTTACGCATGCATTTTGTTTGCTTTTATTAGAGGGACCTACCATCCAAATTTCGTTAAAATTGCTCCATAAATAAGAAAGTTGGATGTTGCATACGCGCAACACTATTTTTTGCGCATGCATTTTGTTAGCTTTTATTAAAAGGACCTACCATCTAAATTTCGTTAAAATTGTTCCATAAATAAGAAAGTTGCATTTCTGCGCATACGCAACACGATTTTTGCGCATGCATTTTGTTTGCTTTTATTAGAGGGACCTACCATCCAATTTTCGTTAAAATTGCTCCATAAATAAGAAAGTTGGATGTTGCACACGCGCAACTCGATTTTTTGCGCATGCATTTTGTTTTCTTTTATTAGGAGGACCTACCATCCAAATTTCGTTAAAATTGTACCATAAATAAGAAAGTTGCATTTCTGCGCATGCGCAACACGATTTTTGCGCATGCATTTTGTTTGCTTTTATTAGAGGGACCTACCATCAAATTTTCGTTAAAATTGCTCCATAAATAAGAAAGTTGGATGTTGCACATGCGCAACTCGATTTTTTGCGATATGCATTTTGTTTTCTTTTATTAGGAGGACCTACCATCCAAATTTCGTTAAAATTGTACCATAAATAAGAAAGTTGCATTTCTGCGCATGCGCAACACGATTTTTGCGCATGCATTTTGTTTGCTTTTATTAGAGGGACCTACCATCACCATCCAATTTTCGTTAAAATTGCTCCATAAATAAGAAAGTTGGATGTTGCACATGCGCAACTCGATTTTTTTGCGCATGCATTTCGTTTTCTTTTATTAGGAGGACCTACCATCCAAATTTCGTTTTAATTGTTCCATAAATAAGAAAATTGCATTTCTGCGCATGCGCAACACGATTTTTGCGCATGAATTTTGTTTGCTTTTATTAAAGGGACTTACCATAGAAATTTCGTTTAAATTGCTTCAGAAACAAGATCGTTGCGTTTTGCACATATGCAACACAATTTTTGACTTTGACAATTTTTGTCTCCGTTTTTTGATAATATAACCCGGCCCAATTTTTTGTAGGTTGTACACAGGAAAATAAGGTCTTCCAAATAATAGAATAAAAATTTTAGGTTGCTATTTGAAAAAAAAAGTTCGATGCCGTTACGGCGCTCCAAAATTTTTTTCAAAAATCCGGCCCGTTATTTTTCTGTTCGGTATGCCTAAAACATATATACAAAATTTCAACAAAATCCGTCGAGCCGTTTTCTCAGAAAATTGCCAACAAACGTACGTACGTACGTACGTACGTACGTACGTACATACAGACGGAAAAAAATTTTATTCTTTAAAAGTTGCTTAAAATGGTCTAAAACGTCGACATTTGATGAAATTTTGAAATGTTCAAAAAACGGCTATCTCAATAGCTACCTAGCACATGCTAGGAAGCTAAAAACACCTGAAACAACCTGAAATCCAAAATTACGCCCTAATTTTCTCCAATACCACCTACCAAAATAAATTTAATCTTTATCAGTCCCCACAGACTAAAATGTGACTTACTTTTTAAACACTTCTATGATCTTCACGGTATGCAGACCTTTTTTTGTTGAATTTTGCCGTTTCTAAATTTTGTTGGTTATGATGATCCTCTTCATGGCTCTTATTTGCAAAAAAGATAAAGGTCGACTATAAATTGTATTGCGAGAAGTTGATTGGCGCAAATATCGGTATAACTCAGATACTTTGTTAACTTTACAAATGACGACGATATAGGTACTTCAAAAACTCAATATTCAACCTGTAATCACATTAAAAAGTGATTGCATTAAATACTCGTAATTTCAATGACGCCAATCCCGTAAACTGTGGGAAATCCTATTGTCGTTAAAGCGGAGAACCTAAACGTCCCATAATTCTGTAACAACTTTTTTTATAGGTAACCAAAGTCAGTAGTTATATAGCTGGGATAGCTTCCCTGGTATTTATTTAACTAATGCACCTGTACAATGACATTAACTTAGTGTATAATGCAACATAATCATGTAATTACTCCGAATGCAATAAACTAAAAATAAAAAGGAAAGTTACATCACTCAAGATGAAGCACCCCCGGTCAGCAAACGAATCATTCGCGCCATGCAAAACAAGTTCCCCTTTTTTCCTGTGATTTTCCACAACCCAGTTACAATGGTCTAGGGAAGGCATTGCAAACTGGGCTGCCAGTTTGGCGTTGGGAATGTTTTATCTAATAAACTAAGGCTTGAGCCTATCCAGAAAAGTACTTTTACACATTATTCAATGTATTTTATAACAATGACATTTAGATGCTGTACAGGCCCAATCCGGTTTTCATTTAAAGCAGACTCGTACCATCAATCGTCGGAACGAACTAAACATCCAATCCAAACGTCATTTATGAATGAATTAAGTAGAGTTAATTTTAACGGTATCATCAAGTGACTGAAATGCTCATGTCAATGAATCAGATTGCATGAGTCAATTATTTCCTATTTATTCCAAAGAAACGATGTACAATTTTATGTGTGGGATAAATCTCATTAAATACGTATAGAGTTGGTGATTAAAAAATTTAAAAATAAGTTGCCAGCACATGCACATTGTAAATATCTCACTTTCTCGGAGCACTATATTTGACGTTCCGTACTAGGTCACTGGTGTGTAATATACACGTTTTTGGAACACAATGTTTTAAAATCTGGCACTATACTCGTTGGACATAAAATATTGGGGCCATGGTGTATAATTCAATTCGCGATTTGAAGAGTTGAGTCATGATACTTATCCCAATTGTACATTCTATTTCGAAATTTTAACTTTTAATACGTTTCCGTGTGTATAAGAACTACTTTAAAGGGCATACCTACCAAGACGAGCTGAGTCGCAAAAGAGAGAATTCCACGACACATTTATACTTTCGGTCTTTATTACATCCGGTTGTAGGTATCGGAAGACCAATACTGAGATTATAAAATGTAAGAAACTAGTGATTACTCATCGAATTCGTCTCTATTTAACTTTTGAAAGTAAGACGGAAATCATTCTTCCAAAGTTACAGGTTTTTGGATTATATAAGTTGATTCCGAGTTCTTCGTAGATGCGGACGCTATACAAGCGGCCCCGCACTCACCAATAAATAGGTCCATATAATGTTACCAGCTGTCCCATTACTAGAGAAAACGATTATGAGTAATTTAAACTATTGTTCACGTTATGTACTGTTTAGTTTCAGTTTCCTTGACATTTGGAAATTCCGAAATTCAGTTATGTTATTCCTACAAAACCAAGAATAAAGCGGATATGTCCAATTATAGGGCTATATTGATTATGTCAGTAATACCAAAATTGTTCGAAGATATTATAACAAATACTTTATTTCCATTACTTATAAGCACTATAATTGACGAACAACATGGTTTTTTCCCTAGTCGTTCCACAAACACCAACCTTTTAACTTATCAGCATTACATTCTTAGTTGTTTTGATGAAAATACGCAATTAGACTCCATATATTTTGACTTCTCTAAGGCATTTGTAGAGTAAACCATAATATCTTGTTATCTAAACTTTCTCTCGTTGGTTTATGTGATCCAATATTGTCATGGCTTCGTTCTTATCTAACAAACAGAATTCAAATGGTGAAATATAAGAACTTCATACCTAAACCAATACATGTCTCGCGTTTCATCGTTTCGTGACGTGTGTGTTCTTGCCCTATATGCGCGGAGAAAAATCCTTATATTTTAGCTAACGACAAACCAAATACACTGTTGTAAAGATAATTAAAAATAGGAACTTTTTGGGAAATTTCTTTTTTTCTTTTTTGGGCAGTTTGGACATGGTCTCAACAGATGAATTTAGGGAGTTAATTATTTATTGTTTTCTGTGTTGGTCGCTTTAAAATTAGCGGTTGTTTAAATGCGATCCACATAAGAGACCCTCAATTTTAACAGAGGATATGAAACTGAATGTTTTAATTTTTTTGGAAGAGAATCCCATAAGAAACTTAAGGGAAATAGCGGGCAAATTTAATATCACTTCATCGTAACCTATTTTATTTGTTACTCAGTTGTAAACGTTGATTAACAAGACAAAACGCAAACGGGTAAACGTCATGTTTAAACGCTACTGACTTGTAAAACTGACAGCTGACTTGTAAAAATTTTACAAGTTAGCAAATCTAGTCATTTCATTGGCCAGAATTAATGCGAAGCCTCTGTTACATGGATAACATGATATTTTAGACATTTCGTCGAAATCAGTTTAAGAACTAATTATTTACGTTTACTATTGTTTACAAATGAGTAACAAATTTAATATTGTACATTATACGCCAGGTAATAGTTTTTACTGGCTCTAGGAAATGACAGGTTCGCCTGACGGCTCGCCAGTCAACTTCTCCTATCGCCAGTAAAAACTCACTTACCTGGCTAATAATGTAAAATACTATAAATTAATTATTATTAAAATCTAGAATGACAGTACAAAATGTGCGCGCATGTTATTTTGGTTGCATAAAATTAGTCATCTTTCAGAAGATTTTTGTCAAATAGAAAATCCCTATGACTACTTCTAAATGAATAACACCGTAAATTAACCACTGTTTTTTACTCGAATGCTTCATTAATAAATACGAAAGTCATAAATAAGTCAGCGCCACGGCTAACGTATAATCTTAAATGCACGATAAAGAGTTGAGGTAACGCTGCTACAAAATGTTATAATAGAAAGGACCCAAATCATTTTCTGCACTTTAAGGTTTTGAGGAACGTTGCACGAGAAGAAAGACCTAGGTATAGAATTCAACATTATCGTAACAACAACAAAAATACTAATGTTTATAAACAGTTGAGTAGTCTATGAATTATATATAATCAACATTCAAGATAGTCCCCTCACCTAAATGGTACTTTGAAACGAAGGATTTACCATTTTACATATACCATAAAAACTACCAAAAAAGTGATATGAGAATTTATACACAAGATGTTAACGGCACCATTTTACATGTTTAGTGAAATTTTGTCACAGAAATTTAACTCTGATCTGTCAAAGTGAAAGACACATTTTGTAAATGTGATTGCTAAAACGCGTATTTAACCCATTTTCTCTTGTTACAGGGCAAATGTTTCTCATGAATCGGTTCTTCGATGGAGCATTCCTCACATTCGGAATAGACGTATTAAACTTCATGGATAGCGATGAAGAGGATCGGGTCGATCCGATGATACTCATATTCCCGAGAATGACAAAATGTACATTTTATAAATACGGTGTTTCCGGCGAAGTGGAAAAGCACGATGCGATCTGCATTTTACCGTTAAACGTAGTGAACGAAAAAATTTACGTATTTCTTTGGTTCTGGTTTATAATACTCGCTTGCTTAACGTTTGCCACTATAATTTATAGAATAATTATTATATTTTCTCCGAGAATGAGGGTGTACTTGTTAAGGATACGCTATAGGCTTATTAGAAAGGATGCTATAGATTTGATTGTAAGACGAAGTAAAATGGGCGATTGGTTTCTATTCTACATGTTAGGTGAGAATGTCGATTCTGTAATATTTCGTGATGTTATGCAAGAATTAGCGAATAGACTTTTGAAACATAATTTTCATCATATGGGTGGATTTAAAAGTGATATCCAAGACGCCTAGTGCCTTTTTATACTGTGTTCATGTAGAAAGATGTTTTCCTCCGACCAATAAAATATCTTTACTTATGATTATTATCGTGAGGCTGACGGCCAAGAATAGGAATTCAATATTCGAATTACACCAAGCTTTAAAAAGTTTGATATAATTAGATTAGGTTTTTTATATTTTCAAACGTGTAATTTTGTTTTTAAATAAACGATTCATATGCAACTTCCTGGTTTTAATTCCAGAACTTCCTTCTTGCCAATTACGCAATTTTAATCATTCGAATAACCTTCTGTTGCCATTTTGTGGTTCAGATGATATTCTCTTCTCAGGGGTTGTGCTTTATTATTGGTTGTACATGATATTCCATTAGCATGTCCGCATATTTTATAACATTTAGGATAGTCCTCCTCTAAAAAATTGTCATAGGGTGTACCTATTGAGGGACATCTCATTTGAAAGGTCATAATGTTTACTGTATGAAAGTGGCAGTTGTCCTATACAATATAAGTATACAACACTTTACAAAGACTACGTTTCAATTAATGTAATAAAGGATTGGAGAACTCCCTAATTTTTCCAAGAAGATCAGGTTTTGTGACAAATGCACTTTTTTTTAAATCGATATATCAATAAGCAAATGACAAAAATCCACACGTTTCGAGAAGATCCAATTTCAGTTTTGCAAAAAATGAATGAGCCATACCCTAGATGGAAAAAAAATGTTTTTTTCAGCAAAAGAGGCGCAATAAAGAAGCCATAATAAGATTACTATACTTCGTTCACCCAACAGAAATAGTTAAGCCCCTCCTCAACAATTACCGCCACATTTGAATACGACATTGTTATTGGTGTAATTTTTGAAGCCACAATCACACTTGTAAAGCGAATTGGCCGAATTGGGTAATCTGGAGTGGCTTAACTATTTCTGTTGGGTGAACGAAGAATAGGTCGTTATTAATCGACGATACCCTAATAACTGGATTGCTCAAGGGGGGCGCAATAGGAAGGCATTTTCTTGCTATCTAGGAGTTAAGGTTTATTATAGCTGAAAAAAGGCTTAATTTATTTTTCATTTTAGTAAGGAAATGCCCAGGAGTGGTCTGATAACTGAAACTAGTACCAGAGAAGACGCAATTCATCTATAACGAATACTGTGGGGTGGATGATTTCATCTTCGGACACGTAGAACAATCCACTAATCAATTTGGACAGGGAATCAATTGCCAAAAGTCTTGAATTCATGTGGAACTCGGAAATTGACTGTCTACAACACGAAGTAGAATATTAAAAACGAAAGTAAAGGCAGTCAAACGGAATACACTTTTATTCACAATCGGTTAGTAATAAGAGTCATTCGTCTCATTTAAGAAGTTTGAAAGTCGGCCGTAACTAGATTATATTTATTACGAAGTTCGAAAGTATGAACTTCCGCGCTAAGGAAGAGAAGTATAGCTACTAATATCAGTCACAGATGGCGCACTAGATGAGATGAAGTTTTGAATCTCTGTTGCACCGTGACTCTCTCAGTGACCTCGGCACTGCGCAACCGTAAACACTCTAGAATTTGAATTTGCGTTAAACTGTTTAAGGGTAAGGGGTAAAATACGAGTAAAAAATATACTCGTAATGGTAATATCATTGTTTATTCATAGGTATACAAACAAAACAAACGCTTGCCCGTAGGCGCGTTTTAAGTAAATTCATATTCAAAGCGGTTGCGCGTTGCTGAGGGAGTCACGGTACAATAGATATTCATGTCTAATTGGCTGTTGGTTTCCAGTTGGTTGTAATCATATATATAAGAGAAGTATATGGATAACCGCCTATGATTGCAATGTGCAAATTGTTCGCCATAATAGAGAGCTGCCCTATTCCTTAGTCCTGAACTCTGTATTTATGCGCAAACTCCCCAAGTAAATATTTACTTCTCTCCGCCTACTTTTAAGTAGCGCCAATTTCAAATTTCATAACCTATAACTCGAAAATAGGGTTAAAATTTTATTAAACCATCATTGTGTGCAATTACCATATGTAAACACAACCACGCACCATTCGGAAACTTCACCCAGACTTCTATTCGCTTCATGCAGGCTCATATTCACCACATTGGCCCCATTCCACCTGCCGACTCCTATCACTATTGTCTGATCCTGTGATGTCTTTAGATAAGTATACTAGCTGGCCGAGGCCCACCCTCCCAAGACCAATCGCCGCCGAAGCGTTTCTTACCTCTGTTGACTATATCGCTTCGATTCCCCTACTAGCATCTTCACCGATCAGCGACGACAATTTGAATCTTCCCTTTTTTGTGCCCTCAACATTGTTTTCGGCACACAAGGATTCGGGACTTGCACTCAATGGCCTACTTGAATGATTTCACTGCCAACTCAAATCAGCGCTCATGTGCCACCCAGTGCGTTCTGGTTCAAGGTACTCCGTATCGTTCTGCTTGGAATCTGTAGAATTTTCACGGAGAACTTTCGAGCTTCCTCAGCGGAGTTTGTTTACGGTTACACCCTTCAACTTCGAAGGCAAACTTTGTAACGATTTAGAAACCTAAATTGCAATTTGAAATAATATACCTATAGGGATCATATCTTGAATATAACATGAAATTGGATAAGTTCGCATCAGCTATAATATAAAGTGATACATTACCAATGTTCAAAGAAACACCATTAAATTAAAGACATTTACTGATTTTAAAATAAAATTAACATTGTCGAGTTGGAAATCTTTTAGGTGTTAAGTGACCCCCATATAACTTCGCCCCCATCATGTTTGCGTGCATCCAAATCAATGCAGTCATAGCGGTTAAAATGACGAGAACACAACCTTGTTTTTACATCATCGAATTCCGATAGTTCACATGCTTGCAGTCACCGATTCTTGTTGCTTTTTCACTTGGGAATCTAATAACAAGTATGGCATAAATGAATTGATTGCAGATAATTGCATTGTAACTTACTTGTGCCATGAAACCGAAGAATCCACTTTCCCACAAGTACCTGCATTTCTTTATTTCTAAGTAATGAACACACTAAAATTGCCAAACATTAGGTATTCCTTTACAATTATTGTGTATCACTTACGTATACTGATTTATATAACTACGAAAGGCTTCTTTACTATTAAAATTAAACAAAAGTTCATAACTCATAAACAAAACAAACAATTTAACCTCAATCCGTTATGTCAAAGTGGAGTAAATGGTAAATAACACTTCATAATAACACGCAAGCGCATTAGCGCCTAGTTCCCAACTAATGACAGAAGTATATTTCCATCCACTAACGTTGGCGATAGGCGTGTCCACTCGTTTATCCATATACTTCTCTTATATATATGGTTTATATATATGTTAAAGAGCAGGTTTATAGTATCCGCGTAGTACGGGAAGCTTTAAATACTCTTCAAAATTTGCTATACGTCCACAAATAAGAATAAGTTTGCTTTTTTTGGGATATCTAGGCGATTAATTAATTGACGTTTGTTAATTTATAGGTTGACAGTCCCAAATCGCGTCTCATCGGACAACTTCGGACAGACTCGTTTACCCTGAAACTCACATACCCAGGCGATGTCCTTGACCATATTTTACACTTTATTCCGTATAACTTCCGTTGCACGTCATCATTTTCTGTGACGTAATTACTATGCAATAATGCCAAATCTAGTTTTGAGCGATTTAGGTTATGTCACTTGTCAACAAGACAGTGCATTCTTTGTGTGAACAATCCACACCTTAAAATAAAATAAATTTTATTATTCATTTCGTTAATTGGAACCACAATATACATACAATATACTTTAATAACTTATGAACTGTACAAATGTAGCATCTCTTTTACAGAGAAAGTACTAAATATAAAATTTTACAGGTTATGTGATGTGATGGATGATATTCAAATTAATCGGAATCATCGGAACTGCTTTCGTGTTCAAAGTTTATAATAATAGTAGCAACGTTTTCAAGATCTAATTGCTTTTCTCTTTCGTACCACTCGTGTATTACAGTTTCCGTATCCTTAACTGAATTGCGCCACGTTTCGGAAGTTATCGATTGTAGTGATTCTTGTCACATGTTTATGCAATTTTCAATGCTTCGTCCATCTCTACCAATGTGTCGATTGTAGTAATTTTTCGCTATGCCCCAAATATGTTCGATAGGATTAAAAACGCGATGATAGGGTGGTAATCGTAAAACGAAGTAACCGTATTGCTCGGCTAAGTGGTCAATGCCTTATGCGGTACATTTTAGCTGATTTATTCCTAAAAGTATCAACAAGATTTATATAACATCAAATAATTTGCGAACGTACTTACTGTGCAACCTTTTCAACAGTTCGGCTGTAAAATCATTTTCGGAGAACTGCACATTATGATCACCTAACCACACTTTAATGTTGTCTGTTTTCCCGTTATCGAACACAATTACTGACGGGTTATCTAAATTCTTCAGTAATTTCTCTTCAAACCAATGCACAGCGAAAGACGTAGAAAATAATCAAAATCAAATCAAACGAAAAGTAAACCAAAAGCAACCTGTCAAATTTACAAATTTAAACGCGACAACATAGCGAAATGCTACCCATTGTTGCGGTTAAAATAAACTACATGCTTAATGTGTTGCCTAATAAACGAAAGTAAGTTTACGTTGGTACGTCGTTTTCTTCAGGTAATGACGTGCAACGGAAGATATACTGAATAGACCGTAGTTACAATTAGCAGTCCATGTACTATATGGTCTAAGGAAATAAGCTACTTCCGCGCTCAGTGCGTAATGTACTATTTCATGTCTACTTTCTGTCGGGAAATGTTAGTTTCCATGACAGAGGCAGAGCAGACTACATTTCCTGCCGCTTGTCACTTTACCGGACGCACCGTCACTTTACAGGTAAGTTCATAGCTCTCCGTTCATACGTTTCCGTTTGTCCGTTAGCCAATCAGAAGACAGCAAATTTTTAAATCGTACGTCGTCCGTTTACGACGGAAAAGTTGGTTGAAGTTGAACATTTACGTTTCCGTTGGTCCGTTTTTAACAAGAGTGAGGTTATGTTTGGTACGTTAACAGCGTTCGCCTACTCGTTCTTCACGGTAATATGCCAGATAGCAATGTGTTCTTACTTTCGTACCATTTTTACATACTGAAAATCATTGACGGTACAGTACAAAATAAAGT